CTGCCATGAGCAGGGACACCTTCCACCAGCCCAGGTTGCTCTAAGCTCCATCCAACCTGGCCTTGAATATAGACCAGATTTGGGCAGGATTTTGCTCCCAGCATTCCAGGAGCAGCCCAGCAGCACAGTCCCCATGGAGCAGCCTCCTCCTCTTCCTTCTCCTCCCGAGCAGCGCTGAGCCCTTGCCTGGGGCCACGGAGGGACCACGCGGAGAACAAAGGGCGAAGAGAGGAAAACACGCGGAAAAAAAAGGCTGTGTGGGGTGACACAGCCTAGCTGTGACCTGGCTGTGGGCAGGGAGGACACCCAACCCATCCCGGGTGACCTCCCGACCCAAACCCAGGCGGTTTCCTCGTGGATCAGCCGGCAGGAATGTCACGCAACGGGTGTTTCTGCTGCCCCAGGGATGGTTGTGGTGCTCGCCCTGGGTTCACCCATCCCACCTGTGGCACTGCAGGGACACCCAGGACACGCTCCGGGAGATGCTGCACGCTGCTGGCACCATCTCCTGGCCAAAAGCTTCCCAGGAATTGCAGCTGGAGGGAGAGGGAGGCAGCAGCTTCCACTGGCCCCAACCAGTGCCCCCCGAGATGTGTTGTCCACCGATCTGACCCACAGCATCATGGGCTGCTTTGGGTTGGGAGGAACTTAGAGCTCATCCAGTTCAACCCCCTCTCCCACCAGTGGATCCAAACCCCATCCAACCTGGCTTGGAGCACTCCCAGGGATGGACCAGCCACAGCTGCTTTGGGCAACCTGTGCCAGTGTCTCAACAGGCAACAATCTGCCCCTGTGAGCTCAAGTTCCCTCCTCTGTTCCCTCCTTTTTCCCTTCTTTGCTCCTTCCCTTTCCCTTCTTCCTTTACCTTCCACCCCTCCTCTTTCCTAATGGGTCCCTCCTCTTTCCTCCACACTTAGCCCATCCACCTGCCCCAAGGTCTCTCCTGGGGTCACAACCACCACTGTGCTCCACAGTCCCAGTGTCTGCTCCCTCTTGGCTGGAGCACAGGGACCAGTAATCACCTCCAGTCAACGAGAGTTGCTAAGCAAAGACGCTAATTGCCTCATTTTCGTTATGTCTGGTTGTAAACTGCTTGTAATGGGCTAGTTGGTGCCAGGGAATGTCGCTGGTGGGAGCTGCTCCATGGGTCCTTCCTGGCTGGAATACTGGGCACAGACACCCAGAGTGTGAGCAGGTGTTGTACAGCCTCTTCTCACCATCCCAGCAACACGTTCACCACCAGGCACAGCAACCCACACCACCCTGGAACTCCCATCCCTGGTTTCCATAGCTCCCAGAATCCAGCACGGAGCAATGCCAGCACAACATCCCTTTGGCTCCACCGTGCAATCTCTTCCCCTGCCTCTGCTTCCCCTTTTTTTTCTTTTTTTGCCAGAACCTTGTTTCACCTCGGATCTGCCCTAGATGATCAGCATGGAAGAGCCTGGAATGGGACGTGGAGGGAATGAGAAGGGACGGGAATAGGAGCTGAATCCCAATGTCCTGCTGGGGCTTTGTTCCCTCCCAGCACAGAGAGGCTGGGAGAGCCCTGGATCCGTGTCCACGGGCTGTGCCCTGCATGCACAAGGACTGCGGCTGGCAGAGAGCGGCAGGGGAAGGAAAGGGATGGGGCAGGAGCAGGGAAGGGGGAGGAAGGGAAAGGAAGGAGGGAAGGGAAAGGAAGGAGGGAAGGGAAAGGAAGGAGGGAAGGGAAAGGAAGGAGAGGAAGGGAAGGAGGGAGGAGAAGGAAGGGAAGGGAGAAGAAGGAGGGAGGGAAGGAGGGAAGGAGAAGGATGGAGGGAAGGGGGAAAGGGAACGGGGAGGAAGGAGGACGGAGAGAAGGGGAGGGAGGAAGGAAGGAGGGAAGGGAAAGGAAGGAAGGAGAGGAAGGAGGGACAAGAAGGAAGGGAAGGGGGAAGAAGGAGGAAAGGAGGATGGAGGGAAGGGGGAAAGAGAAGGGGAGGAAGGAGGAGGATGGAGGGAAGGGGGTGGGAGGAAGGGGAAAGAAGGAAGGGAAAGGAGGGGAAGGGGAAGAGAGAGAATGGGAAGGGAGGAGGAGGGAGGGAATGGGAAGGAGGGAATGGGAAGGAGAAAGGAGGAAGGAGGAGGAAAAAGGAAGAGAAAGGAGGAGGAAGGAGAAGGAGGAAGGAGGGAATGGGAAAGAGGAAGGAGGAAAAAGAAAAAGGAGAAGGAAGGAGGAGGAAGGAGGGAATGGGAGAGAGGAGGAAGGAGGAAAGAGGAGAAAGGAGGAGGAAGGAGAAGGAAGGAGGAGGAAGGAGGGAATGGGAAAGAGGAGGAAGGAGGAAAAAGGAGGAGAAAAAGGAGAAGGAAGGAGGAGGAAGGAGGGAATGGGAAAGGAGGAAGGAGGAGGGAGAAGAAAAGGGAAGGAGCAAGGAAGGGGGAGGAAGGAGGAGGAAGGAGGGAATGGGAGAGAGAAGGAGGAAAAAGGAGGAGGAAGGAGAAGGAAGGGGGAGGAGGGAGAGAAGGGAAGGAGGGAAAGGGGAAAGGGAGGAGGGAGAGAATGGGAAGGAGGGAAGGAGGAGGAAATGGGAAGCAAGAGGAAGGAGGGAAGGAAAAGGATGGAGGAAAGGAGGAGGAGAGAAGGAAGTAAAGGGAAGGAGCAGCAAAGGGGGAGGAAGGAGGGAAGGGGTGGAACGTAAAGGAAGGAGGGAAAGGGAAGAAGGGAAAGGGAAGGAGCAAAGAAGGGAAAAAGGAGGGAACAGAGGAGGGAATGCAAAGGAAGAAAGGGGAATGGGAAGGAAGGAGGGAATGGGAACCAAACAGACCCAACCCAACTCACCATTATCTTGCAAATGTCTTTATTACAACTTAACAGATTAGTTCTGAATAGTTTATTATGTACAGAAATAGAACTTTTAGATAAAAAACCCCAACGAACGTGACACAAATCAATGCAAATCCCTGGAAAGCCAATGCTGAAGGTTTCCTAACTCTTCCCTAAATGATACAAAAATAAAATCTCATCATTACAGTTTTGATTTAAAGTCCTATGAGTGTTAACTTAGTCTCACCTCGAGCACCGAGACAGGACCAGGCTGAGGGAGAAATGCTGACCCCAAGGTGTTCCTGGGGTGAATTTAGTGTCAATTCCCTTCCACCCTGCACTGGATACTTGGAAAAATGAGGCTGGAGAGGAGGGAAAAGCTCCCCCAAGCAGGGCTGGGAAGCAGCAGTGAGTGCAGGGTGGGTAAAGAACATTTTTATTCCAGTGTTTAAGCACTTTGGAAGTTGCAGTTGTTAATCTAATTTAGATTCAATTTATCAGCTCAGTTTGTTCCCAGCTCTGGATTTTTCCAAGCTTCTGCAAACATTTGCAGGTGTTTATTCCCAGCACTCCAAGGCTCCCTGCAAGCACCAACCAGCCAAGTGAGTTGTCCAGGAGTTACTGAAGCACCAAGTTAGGAGATCCATGGAAAAAAGGGCCTTAGTGTGTTTTTCCAGGAGCAGCAAAAAACATCTGCACTGATCCCACTGACCACAAACCACATTTCCTCTCCTAGTTCCCCATTTCTCATCCCTATTCCCTAAGCTAAACAGCAGGAAAAAAACAACTCGAAGTTAATTTCTTAGGATTACAACTGAAATTTCACCACTAAAATTTGCCAAGGGAAGGAGAATCCAATTCTTTATTTTTTTTTTTGTGGGGGAGGGGCCCAAAAACCAGCATCATGAAGCTGTAAGTAAAAATCCAGTAAGCTTTTCCCTCCTGAGATTTGGAATTTTCTCTCAAGAACTGGAAGTCATAAATGATAAATTTGGAGTAGTTTCAGGTTTCTCCCCACAAAAGGGAAATGTTTCTGCTCAGCTGAACAAACCAAGTGGCAATTCCCTGTGTTTATCCCAACTTTGTGGTCTGTGGAGTTTATCTCCCTGGGTGAGCTCCCAGGTCACCCCCAGCTCCAACCCCTTGTGCTGCTGCTTTAGCTCTGACTGAAAGAATCAAGTGTAGGAACAGAAATCAAGTGTTGTCCTTCCACCCTCAGATCCCCTGAGCAGCCACAGGGGTGTTAATACTGGTTTGGGTAAGGAACACAGAGATTTGGAGCCTTAGATTTCCTGAAATCAAAGCTAATTCTCCTGGAAAGTAGCAGAACAAACAGACTGGATAGAGGAATCCACTTCAACCCAAGCAGAATTACAGCCAAGTTTCTCTAAAATTAAGGAGAGATCTCTGTGTTTGGCTCCCTCAATGCAAACATCCCCCACAGCCTCCACACAGTACCTTGAATTAGTGATTGGGATGAGGCATTTCCTTGCCCTAAAAGCCAAGAAATGTGGTGCACAAGCAACTAAAACCCTTTGGAATAGTCCTGGATAACTTAAATAACTTAATTGGGTTTAAATAAATCAAACCAAAGGGTTTGCAGTGCACCCCTGACCTCTCCCCAGTGTGTGCCTGACTGGGATAGTGGTATTAAAATGCTACATAAACACTCCAACATTGGATTCCATGCAAAACTAGGAGCCTAAAGGAAGGAATCAAATAGCTACTTCACACAGGAAAGTTTCAAGTCATCACCTAACAACATCTGAGACCTCTGTACAAGCTGGAGGAGATGAGGAACGTGAGGAAACAGCAAAGCTCTGAGGCAACTTTAAATCAAAACTGCAAGGAGAAGGGCTGAGCCCCATAAATATTTCCTTCAAAATAGGTTCTGCTTTGTCAAAAGTGCAAAAAATCCAACTGAACTGTCACCACTCCTCAACGTAGGGCACACAAGGCATTTCTGGAATGGATCCAACCTAAAGCAGTCTGATTCCCAAGGGTTAATGGAAAGGAATGCAACTGTAGCCCACCCCACCCCTGGAGGGTTCTGTCTGCAGAGCAGGACACCAGGGATTGGGGGTGGATATCCAACTGGGAAAGGCAAATCCCACTCCTCTGCCCATTTCACAACAGCACAAGCAGCTGCCACTTTGTTCAGGAGATGTTCTGAAGTGCTGGAGGCTCACACAGCATTCCCAGGAGGTTTAAGGTGCTAGAAGAGATCAAGCCTCTGGGAAAAGGTCTCTTGGAGCCTGTGGAATACTCTCTGTCTATGCTCTGTGGTGAAGCAATATCCTATGGCTTCTTCTGTCTCCTGGATCCTCTTCTGGAACCTGCAGCTATCCCGAGCCATCTCCTCCCAGGGCCCTTTTCGGTCCTCCTCGCTGCTTATGTAATACTCTGTCACTTGCTCAAGGAAGGTGACCTGGAAAAAAAAACAAAACCCAAGGGATTGAGGGAAGAATTCACCACTCATGCCAAAGGAATTTAGGATTTGTACTGTCTTTTGTTGGAAGAGAAGTTATTCAACAACTAAACCAGCAGAAAGCCTCAGACACCTGCTCAGAGAGGAGGGTTAGATGGATATTGGGAAGGAATTGTTCCCTGGCACAGGTTGGACAGAGAAGCTGTGGCTGCTCCAGCCCTGGGAGTGTTCCAGGCCAGGTTGGATGGGTTTGGAGCAGCCTGAGCTAGTGGAAGGTGTCCCTGCTCATAGCAGTGGGACTGGATGAGCTTTAAGTTCCCTTCAACCCCAACCAGGCTGTGATTCCACGATTCCCTGACGTGCTCCCTGTTCCTGCCAGGTCTCTGCCCCCCCGGGCCAGACTATGTCACCTCTCAGCTCTGAAACCACCCAGTGCTGACTTCCCTCTCCCAAAAAAGTGCTCAGCTACTACAGAGTTACTCACTGCCTGCCCACGAGGCCTCAGGGAGCTGAGCACAGACCCCACGGGACATCAGCCCCTGTATAACCTCACACAGGTTATCCCTGGGCCATCCCAGGACACTCAGGGCTGGGAATGTGCTCTGATTGCTGCAGATTACATGGTAAATAAATAAAGGGCAGAATCATTGCTGTGTGAAATCCTCTGAGTCATCCCAGGGAAGAGGAATCCCAGATAAGGGAGCAACACTCATCAGGACATGACTGGAACAATCCCTCTCTTTCCAGCTGCTCTGGAATTCCAACGTGTTAAGCTCAGTCGAGGAAATTAAAGTCATGACACCTTCAGATACTTATGGAAACTTTCCTCTCTTGGCTATTTTTAAGAGCTATTTAACTATCTTAAGGACATAAAGGTCCTTACAGGCTCAGGCTCTGCACTTGGCAGTGCTTGGAATAGGAATATCCTAAGGATTTAGGTCTGATCAAGCTCAGACTGTTCCAGGCTCCTGCTAGACCATGAGCTGCTTTGCATTTAGCTCTAAAAAGGCACAAAATAACTAATTAAACAAAAAACTAACCATCTGTCAGCACTCACCAGCCCTCAGCTAGGCCTGATTCCTCCTGACAAGCCAAACTTTTGGAATCAGGAAAAAACTCCTGGAATCAGGAAAAAACTCTTGTGCTCTATTCCTAGGGTTTATTAACACAGATCCCTAATTTCACACCCAGTTCAGGCTGACACGAGGAGGAGTGTGGAGTGGAATTGCTGTTTGTGGGACAACTTTCCCAGAAAACAAAGCTCCCAGATATGGAATCTCAGGGATGCTGAAGTTCATCCCATCCCACTCTCTGCCGTGGGCAGGAACACCTTCCACTAGCCCCATCCAACCTGGCCTGGAACACCTCATGTCCAAGGAGATAATGACCTGTGAGAACAATCAGTAGCTGAGGACACAGAGCACAAGAGAGTGAGTAAAAACAACCTCCATAACCACCTAATCCTGGAGCAGTGATCCCCAATACCTGTGGAATCAGGGACATCACACCCCACATGCCCTCACAGCACGTCCAGGCGCTGCCAACTGCAAAGTGAAACAAACACTCCCAGGTTTTATGACTTTACAGACATTAACTCCTGACAGGAAGAGCCTTGAGCTGGAAAAAGGAGCTGTAAGTTTCCTGGGAACCCCCAGCAGTGTTTTCCCTGGCCCTAACTGCAGCTCCTGCTTCAGCAGCTGTTACATCAGCCGGTGCCTGTGTGAGCTCACACCTTACATCCCTTTACATCAGTCTGAGCCACCCTGGGGCTCAGGCACTCAACACCACGTGCAACATTGCAGCCACATCATCCCTCTTGCACCATGGCACGAGATTCCAGAGGCAAACAGGACTGATTCCTGCCCACCTGTATCCCAGCACAGCTGTCACAGGCTCCTCACACCCAAACTCCTTAAAAAAACCCCACATGACATTCCCAGTTTGGGCTCCAAAGTTCAGTTCCTGGTTATACCCTTCCATGAGCTACTGCTGAATTAGGATACAGAATATTCTGACATGGAAATGGGAATATTCATGTGGTTTGTATGGGAATTTCAGTGGTCAAATGTAGCATATGGTAACCATGTGACACACCCCAACACACGTGTGATATTGTTCAAAGCTAAACAAAATTTTTTACTACTCCACAACACCTTAACAGGGCAAAAAGAAAGCCCTAAAATGTTTAAAACGCTTTAAGGTCCTAAATTATTGACATTCCTCCCAATAAAAACTGAGCATTTCCAAGGAGAAAGTGACGTCACAGAGCCGGAATTACTCATGGGGAATGCGACATCACAGCTCTGGAATTTCTCAGGATGAAAGTTACAGTTCTGAGACTCTTAAGCAAAAATTAACATCACAACCCTGGACTTTCTAGGGACAAACTGACAACAGAGCTCTGGAGTTTCTGAGGATAAATTTACATCACAGCTCTGGAGTTTCTCTGATGACTAAACTGTGTTATTACCCGGATATAGAACCGAAACTGCGTCTCAAAAGGCAAATTTCACTTCGGGTCTCCCAAGGAAACTCTGTGCCAAGCGTCACCCAGTTACAAAATCTCCCATCACGTGTCGAAGATGAGGTACAACATTCCAGACCACTAATTAGCACCTAAGCTCATGGAGGCATGAGCTGTAACCTCGGCACGAGGGACCTCTCCCACTCACAGCACACCCAGGGCAACGTGGGGGTGTCTTAGCACCCCAAAACACAAGAAATAAACCAGGAATATACCTTTTTCCGCTTGGGATTCGCACTTTTCTCCCCAGCCAGGATCCCAGGCTGCCCCGGATCGCTGCTGTGCCTGTCCAGCTGCACTTGGCAGACGCTGAAGTGCTCAGTGGTGACCAGGCTCAGCCTCTCTGCCTCCCTGGCACCTTTTTTCTCCGCGGGCTGAAAGGCTGCCGTGAAATTCAAAGGGTTGTAGGGATCGTCCGAGGTACAGAACGAGTTCCAAAGCTTCAAGTTCTCTGCCTCATCCACACTGCCACAGTCCCACTCGTCCTCCTGCTCCTCGGAGCTGTGAGAGCCTGAAGACGACTCTGCCCACGAGTCTTCCTCTTCCTCCTCCTCCTCCTCCTCCTCCTCTTCTTCCACATCCGACATCACCTTTCCCAGCTCGCTGGAAGATGTCTGGATGGTGGCTGTGAAGTTCTGAGGGTCGTAGGGGTCCAAACTGTAGAAAGAGTTCCAAAGGTTAAGCCTCTCCCCGCCGTGGCTGGCGCCGTCTGAGTCCGAGGGGAGCTCTTCGCTGTCAAACCCATCATCATCATCCTCCTCCTCCTCTTCATCATCATCATCCCAGTCCTCCTCAGCCTCACTCTCCTCCCCGCTGGATACTCCCCCGATGATATAATCGATCAATTTATTCGCACAGGCAGGTCTGGTCGACACGGGAAGGTTTTGCTCTGAATCTTCATCCTCTTCCTCCTCCTCCTCCTCTTCTTCTTCAGCCAAGCCTTCCTCACCCTCCTGCTCCAGGGGGGCACATCCAACCTGTATCCCGGGACGCTC